GTAGTGGTATAAACTGTTTTCAAAACTCCATCACAATATTATTATATAAAAATATAAGAGGAATTTTGACATTTCCTAAATTCTATGAGAACTGTCACCGTAAATGTGTTGTATTAAATGCTTATCTTATATTATTGATTTAAAACACTAAGAATGTACCATTTAATACATGAACAAACTACAATGTAAGGCTTTTTTTGAACAGAAATACAAAAATAATACAATTTCCTTGCTTAGATAAAAAAAATGGTATTTTAATTTTAAAAAATCATATATTTACTGTAAATTTCAAATTACCTTTAATAAGATCTGTTTTGCTTTCTTAGCCCAAGTATTTGTTTTTTCAAAAGTCATCCCTAATAGAATGTATAGATGATTTTCAAAAAGTTATATAATTCCTGAGAATCCAAAAATGGTATAAAATTAAAAATAAATGAATATGTCTTATTGCTATGCAGGTCTATGAAGATATACATTATTCAATTAAGTAAAAACAAACAAATACATTCATACTAGGCAATTTATATTTTAAAGGTCAATCTCATAAAATAAGAAACATTTATAAATTAAATAAAAAATCCTTTTTAATGTGAAGATCTGAAACAACCAACGTGATGATGCTATAAAGAGAGGTATACATTTCTAGCCAACGGCACCATCATAGTCCAATTTCATTTATTTTAGTGTGTATATATTTTTCCCATTTTACACCCTCTTAATGAATCTGAACTTAGTCCAGAAGCCAAAGATAAGTAAGAATAATAAGGAAAGGAACAGTAAAACCAGCAGTCAGCTGATCGTGTTTGAACACTGCATACGTCAACCTAGTAACCTTGAATACATCTTAGTTCAACATAAACTTGGTTTATCATCCTGTGTCTCCTTCTATCTTTAGAATTTTTAACAAATGTGATGCCAAGAAATGAGCCTTTAAAGGCTTGCAAGTTAAGAAAAAAAACAATGAACTTCTCTATAATTAACAACAATTCTTGGGAAACATCCAATCTCATACTTGCACTTGAAACAAAAAAATAGACAAAATATCAGATTCAGGCTGCAAAATTTAAATATAATGCTTTTAATTCATTCTATCAAACAAATATTTTATCTTTTTTGGGGGAAAATTTAAAAAATACTAGAGGTAACATTTCATTAGCTTGAAGTATTTCAAATTATATTACATAATTCCTTTCCTGTTTTAGACAAGTAAAAAAAAAAAAGGAAAAAATCCACATTCACTAAATTTTACTAATCAATTTTCCATTTCATTGTGAAAACAAAGTATCACTATTCACAAAAAATCAGAAATATATCTTACACTGATAAATTAACCTGCATTTTATGTCCATAAATTGATACATTATTAATGAATTTCTCCTCCGGAATTAAAAATGGACTTTCAATAACACACATAAGCTACACATGCATTTAGTAATGTGTTAGTTTCTTTCCCAGAACTACTTTAATACAGGATTTAAAAATCTTAAGTTAAACTTATAAAATGTTTTTCTTAACTCTCTCAATCAAATGGGAGGGTTAGAATAAGCATTTGGAGAAGTATAATCAAGTGGATGAATGCCTTTCTTTCACCTTTTTTTTCATACATACATGTTCAATGAAAGTTACATTAATAAACAAATCTTAAAATTCTATTTTTAACATGAATACTTAGTTTTTTTAATTGCATGGTTGATGTTGCCATTAATGCATAATACATAAAAAATTGATGCAAATTTAACATTTTTCATTCACACAATTTAAAAAAATTGAAACATGGGTAAATGTCAGAAATATACAGCCAACATCCTATCATAAATGTCCATAAAAATTTATGATTCTAAAAGAATAAATTACACTCTAAAATTGATTAATTTTTATATATTCTAATACAACTTACATGTACACAAAACTTTGCTCTGATTGTCCCTGGCATACAGATAAAAAAATATTTTAATTTTAAAGGATAAAAATTAAATTTTAGCATATTTATACTCAAGAAAGTGTTCTGACATGATCTCAAAATTCTGCAACAGTTTAAGTGTATAAACTATTTTGAATTTACTATACAGTATATTTTCAACAGAAATCATGATTCTTATTAGGAAGTAGTACTTTTAAATTTGTGACTGCAATTAGATTTAAAAGTAATAATTACAAGTGTTTGAAGTTTTGTTTTCAATTAATGTGATCAGAGCTTTATTTATTGATTACAAGAATACATGTAATTAAATTACTAAATTGTAGAAGGAAATGCATTTGTAGAGTATTATACTGTTAATTATAAAATCATAAAACATGTATATAGCTATCCTAAAATCAAATGCAAAAGTAAAAGTTCACTCTCTGCTAGTGCAAAAGCATTGCACTGTAGATAACTACAACTTTATCAATTTACTTCAAAAACACAAGAAATATGCGTCTCAGCACAATGTACTAACACTAATTATTATATGAAAATATTTTGCAAAAATAAACATGGGTTAAAAAAAAGTCCTATTTTTTAACTTTATATCAAAGAATAATTGATGACATGGCAGTTTTATATATAAACCTCAAATGTAATAAATCATATAATAAAGTGATCAAGCCCCAAGTCTTACTATTAAAATTTGGTCATCTAGTTTCTACCAGTAGAGAGAAAATACCTCATAAATGAATTTGGAAATTAATATTGTTGTTTTGTGTAACTTACTATTTATACTGCTCAACTATAAATCAACTTACAATGAAAATGAAAGTATGTTATTTGTTCTGCAAGCAATCCTCAAACAATATTACTATTTAAAATCTGCATACTTTATCACACAAGTTAATAAATCTTATGAAAATTGTACACTAACATTTTTATCAGGAATTGTTAGCACAGATTTGTAACAACTTCGGTAGTCCACTAACTCAGGTTATGTCACTGTTTCACATAATGAATTCTGTTGACTTTTGTACAGTGATGATGATTCCCGTAACTGGTATCATTTATGAAATCTTAAATCTTTTGCCCCATGTAAATGTAACAAGTATGATGATTACCAAAAGTACTGGCAGTGGTAAATACTTGGTATAGAACTTGAGGGTGTTCTAACTTAGAATCTATGATGATGACAAAACCTTGTCGAAACGTTTTACATTTGCTGTTATGTTAAACTTATATTAAAGTTTTTCTTCATTACCCATTCAAGCCGTCTCCAGCCATTATTAGAATCTAAGGGTTCTTCATAAAATGTTAGAACAACCACGATAAACTTATCAGCCCTACTAGAACTAATACTAGAGCTAGTGCTAATACTAATAGTACTAGTGGTAGTAGTACTAAGTTCTAAGTCAGTAACTACTCTGTTAATGTTAGTATTATGTATACATAATTTCATAAACTTACCGTTTTTATTGGAAATGTTCTATTAAGATGTACTGCTTTTTTAGTTTTATTGCCAGTGTCACTCATCGCATTTCGAATTACGTTATCGGAAGTTTCTTTGTGTGATTTGTTTTCACAGTCAGATCCATCAGTAACATTACAAACAATCATGTCACATTCAGAGTCCGAAGATTCCATCCCTGCTGGTACACCCGCCATCTTTCAAGATATGAGCTTTTACTGACACCTACCGCTGGTATAAAAATTCAGACAAAGAAACTTCAGATATATATTAAAGGTAATAGAACATCATTATAACTTTCAAACTTTCTAGTATAAAAAACGTTATACTTTGTTTTAGCGTAAAAGCTACACAATAGGCTATTGATCTGAGTTCTGTCTATCAAGTGGAATTAAACCCTGGATCTTGACGTTATAAGTTCGTAACCTTATCACTGACCCATTGAGAGTCTTATGACTTAGTTTGATTTGGTGTTATACACAGCATAAATTAATAGTTTTTTTTTAATAAATAGAATTATATAGGAGTTGAAAGTAATCCAGTTTATATTTATTAAATCACTATATCGCTATCTTTATTATTTCCTTAAACCCAGTTTAGTAACGAGAAAATTATAATTAGCAGTCTTTATTTGTAGATCACTATTAGAAACATAATACGGATACCTACATATTTACATAATACTTTTTTCTCTATTCGACGAATGCGATTCTAAAGATTATTATCTTAATTTTTTGCTTTATCCTTAACCTATACATCTTAGCCTGACTTATCGAAGCTAACAACTATATTTTCATTTGTTTGTTTTGTGTTAAGCGCAAAGCTACACAACGGACTGTGTAATGCCCACCTGATTTTTAGCATTATAAGCCCTCAGACTTACCACTAAGCCAGTGGGGAGCATTATCTTCGTTATTTAGACTTCTGGAAATGCTTTCTAACTGAGCAGTTAAGCAGTCTCAAAGTTATTAAAAATACTTAAATGTCTTACTTTCGCACTAACAATATAACTTGTAAGCTTTTGAAGACAAAAGAAAAACTAACATGTTAATAAGCGAAAGAATCAGAGATAAAAAAAGATAGATACTACAGATTTATAAAGAAATCGTGAGTTTAACATACCTAATAGTCTGTATTAGAGTTTATTTAACTTCTGGAAAAAAGTTTACAAACATGACTCCCAAGTAAAAGTAAAAGTAAAAAATAATAATTATATTATAAGTAAAACGCGGGTTCCATCACTAATCAAATCCACAGACCTAAATATGGCAAATTCATCAGTCAATGTGATTAAACCTTAACCTCTTTCTGTTTTTTTTATGGGGTACTGTTTGGGTCAATGGTAAAGTTTTGGATTTTCAACGCTGGCAAGCCAGAATCGATTGCGGTATTACAAAATATTCTCCACACTTTAAGCTATGGTACTACTGACTGTTCGGTAAGTAGTGCATAATTAGAGATGGTTTGACATAATCTTTGTAGATTTCCCATAAATACAAACTACAAATGCATTTTTTCTTATGAAATAAAACTGTTGAATAGTATATTTATTTTCTGGTGAGATTTATTTCCCTTAGGGTGATAGGATAGGTTTGCTGAATACCGGGAAATTAATGATGTCGTTTATTACAAAATAGTTCTGAATTTCTCTGTTCATGGTAAGGGAAAGGGATCAGTGCGAGTTACCGTGTTCACCTGTCTAAAATCAATACAGAAACTGGGTGTACCATCCTTCTTTCCGACAATCACTAATGAAGATGACCAAGCATTGTTTAGTGTGTAAAAGCTTTATGATTCCGTCTTTTAACATCTGCTGTACTTTAGTACTGGCTATATCCCTAGTACTTCAAGGAAGCCTGTGCAGTGTTGTATAATCAGACGTGCATCACCTGTAGCTATTTAATATTCTGTGACTGCTGCTTGACCCCATCAGCCATCTGTCTCGACAGATACATTGGCATATTCATCAACAAATCACCGAGTTACTGCTGCTGTGTTGTGTCTAGATTATCTACACAATCTTCATTTAGTGATCTCGGATGTGTTGGTAATGTTACGTCTCCGTTTGTCAATTGATTTTTCCGTAACTTTGTTCCGACGAAATTTTAAC